ACTCTCAAAAAACTGAAGTTATTGCATAGTACGAGCGAGCAAGCCTCCCAATGAAACGTACAACGAACTGTAGCGCCTCTACTACACATCCAGACCGACCGATAGTTTTCATTTCCCCTTCACGTTCACCCACTCTTATGCCAGTGTTTGTCAAGACGAAGTCAACTCTTGTTTACCCGGCAGTAAAACGGGATGAATCGATTCAACGAAACTACAGTATACCAGTTGAGGAAAGAAGTCTCTTTGCTCATTAGTGATGATCGACACAAATAAGCCGCTACGAATAGATAACTAGTGGGTGATGATCGAGCGAAAGCAGGCTACTACGCACACGGGGTTGCCGGCGAAACCTTCACGTTTTGGAAATCTCACAAAATAGTGGATTAGTCACAGAAGGCGAGTAGTAATGAGATCGCAAGGATAAGCTCGCACTCGCAGCATGTTGCATGGAGTGCGAACTATTTTATCGATAATTAAACTTGTTATTTTAATTGGATGTATGCCTGCACTCCCTAATTATAGAAATATCTCCGGACGCTCCACATAGAAAAACAAGAGAATTGTAATGAGACGAAGCACAGAGCGACGCGCACCTCTGCTAATTAAAGCGACATAGAATTTTAATAATTTGCATAGTCATAATTCATGTCTCATGGATGAAGTTCCCAAAAGTCGTACGCCATAGCCTATCACACTAGGTTTTGCTGCTATTATAAGTAAGAATACGAGATTGTATTCGTTGCACACCTGTTTGCTAGCATAGCCGGCTGCCATAGCAGAGGTGGTACGTTTCAAATATTTGTCCACATATAGTGGATCAATAATAATGAACTCTATACCTGGCAAAAAAGTAGAAAAACTGATAATCATAGTCATAAGCCATATTAGATTAAATTTAAAAAGTAAGTGAAAAAAATGGTGTTTTTAAGGAAACATAGTTCGCATCAGGCTGTTAGAAGAAGAAGAAGTTCATAGAACATATTTTCAGATCAACTAAGCTTTGAATCCGAAAATCTTTCTACTACGCTTCGCTGCTCTAAGCTCGGCTCATCTAACATGCGGTCTCGTAATGAACGAATGTATAGGCGCGTTAATAAAGAGAGCACATATGCGTCATGATTAGTGCAATGAAGTAACATTTGTTAGCGATATAGCATGTGAAGCCAAAATGGTGGAATCAATAGGGAAAAACCCGTAGTTGGTCATCAAATGACATTAACAATAAAGGATTTTTGATGTGATACTGGAGGAGAATTACTCTGATTAGAAGTATAGATGAACACATGTAGTGTACGTATGTGCTAGTCGAGAGAACCAGTTAGGCGCTTCACTAATAGTAGCAGTTATTCGAAAAGAACACAAAGAGGTGCGGGAAGATCTGCCAGGTAGCTGGGTCGCTTGTCGAGACGGAATGCAACCTGTGGTTACTACCAACCAGCCAGACATACTGCGCAGAAAAAAAAGGAGATTAGGCAAAGTTGAGATGTTGGGCAGAGTGAGAGAGGTGAATTTGATTTTGACAGCACACAAAAATGGTGAGTTCCACGAGTTGAACGCATGTTGAGGATCAGATGAATTCACAGTGACGAGTCGCATCAAATGGACAAGGTCAGAACGATCAATGGTCGTCGAACCTTGAACAGACAATTGCACCGTAAACGACGATTTCGAGAGAGGATTCCTGAATGAGGTTCAATGGAGGCGTTAAGATGGAAATATAAGCTAATTTTCATGTACCCACCCTCAGAAACGTATATGATTGCGAAAAAAAGGAATTAGGCATACACAACAGCCACAAAAAAAAGGATTTAACAAGAAAAATGCAAAAACCATGAAACATAAGTTCAGGGCTCCGAGATGCCGAACCCGGAAAAATCTCCTACAGCGGCGACTTATCAGCGAATCGGCAGATCTCGGTGCGACTGAAATCTACTGTAGCCCGAAGAATATCAATATTCGGACGTGACTCACTGGGCAAGATACCGTATAGCGGAAATGATTAAGACGGCGCAGCAGCAGCAGCACACACACCTTCGTGTGGCAAATTCGAAGGGACGCATTGGGGGAAGCCGGACAGGTCGGATGAGCAGCTACAGCTCAGCAGCTGTACGCAAAGCAGAAGCAGCAGCGACGAGAACATGAAGAGCCGCAGGATTTGTCTCGCACACTCTGTATAATGGCTTATGCGGCGCATTGTGGACGCCAATCATTACAGCGCATTGTTTCTTTTCAATCCACCGCTCCATTCCCTCTATTCAGTCTTTTGTATTCGCTTTCAAAGGCCGGCGAGGCACGCTCACGCACCAGTCGTCTTCCCATCACGCCCTATTCAGACCGACCACGCCCTAAACTCAGGCTAAACATACATATCGACGCAACAAGGCTTCTTTATTCATTCGGATATGAACAGAGGAAAGGTGAAAATGAGATGCTTGTGCGGTATTTGCCGAGTTGATGTCGAGACATCGATTTTCCGCTGCCTAGACTATTTAGCAAATCAAAATTGTACCGAAATAAAACCTCGTACAAGTTAGCACAACTTCAAATACGTTTATCTCAGAGAAAAAAAGTAAATGACGCATTGCAAAGACATTAACATTACGATGTGGAGTGCCTGTTAACGAGATCAAGATTAGATGATTACACGTGATCGTATATGTGTTATACACTACTTCATACAATAACATCAGGTGAGAGATTTCTGGTAGAGGACGAGAATAAATGTAGTGAGCCACCTAGTAAGTTTGGAGTACGTATCTTGTTAAAATCGTAATAATAATACGTACTTCTACAGAGGTAGAAATATGTACAACATCAGAGATACATAAGCATTATTTCATAGTCTGAGCAATATTGGGTCCAGCTGAGATGAGAATATCTCCATAAGGTTCGTGTTGTGCCACGTTTATTGCTTGTGACTTCTTCAACACCAAAAGTGTATAAAACTTCTGCGCAGCCGTCTTTCGAGTAGCACCTTTCGTCAAAAGGTCGTTCAACGTAATCTGAAACAGCTGGCATCAATAAGGCTTTGACGTAATGCATTTGATCATTATATGAGCTTTATACAGTTAATGACAATTCATTATATTTCCCAAAGGCAAGAGGACTGGTCTTCAAACGAAAACATTCCAATTATTTCAAAATTTCGAGACGACAACCTATTACTCTTCCTTCTAATTGCTGAATTCTGAATAGAGATGCATTCCCTACCAGAATCGCTTAATGATGATGATCCATTCAGAATGTCTAATAACTCATTGACAAGTTATACTCAGCAAACCACTTAGGTGTAGGACATACCATCCATCACTGGCATTCTACCATGACGCCACAACTGACATCCGTTATCGCCTTCTTTTCAATGCACGTCGAGCGCCGTACACATCGTATCCATATACTCATTAGCAATCGCTTCGCATGTGCCGGTAACATCGGCCTTCTAAGATTCATTGACGATACCGTATCCCCCGAATGTCGCGAGAATCAAACACGGACAAGATTCATTAGCATAGACGGTACATACGAGAACGCATCCACTTCCTGAACGGGCACAACAATCCCCTACCTGACTTCAGACGGTGAGGATTTATTCCCGTTGGTTGTGGAAGGGAAAGGAGATGGAATGGGATTGGATACGGGAAAAACTAAGCTACTTCCCCCGAATTATAAAATAGCTGTTGTCCTATGAAGTCAGTCATATGGAAAATCGAAAATACAGACTGCTACGCGTCGCAACCACCTTCCAGTGATCAATGTCTAGTGGTGATTTTCATATCTAACAACACAAATCATCCGAGTGTGTGCACCGTAGCACATTGTCTAGCGTTGCAAATTTTCACTTTAGGAAATTTGAATGAAACAGCTCGAATTTATATAGAAAAATCGCTAATACGGTTATAATAGAGAAAAACACTAGAATGAGGCGTCAAATATAAGCAAATTATTCCGAGACAGTTGTTTGTACAACAGCACCAATTTAACCTATAGCAAAAATTTTCTAGACAAATTCCGTAAACGACTTGATTCAGCAAAACGCTTGTAGAAAAGGTGCACTAGTTCTGTCCCCACAAAGTACAATTATTATTTTTGGTGTGACATTTACCTAGCAGTAACTATGGTTTGTGAAACGAAACAAGCGCTGATGTTAGCAATGTGAGAAACGAGTGGAACTTTTTATAGGCAAACGTTCAACAAGAAGTGCGCGCATCATCGTAAAGAAGATTTACAGCAAACGTGATTCTGTCTAACTACTCGTTGATAATACAATTGGAAAGAAAAAGAAGATTATGCATCCCTTACACTATAATAATGATGTTTTAACTTTTTGATAGAT